CTGTGAATGACTGGACACGTGCACTCGCTTTCTGGGAAATCGCTGAAAAGTAAGGGCGGGTCCTCGTTTAGAAGCTTCAGTGTACTACGAAGAGAGAATGTTATCTCCTCCCCAAATTCTGTAGCCATTTCTACATGGAGGGACTTCCCTGCTGCTCACACACACACACACTGAGGCTCTAGAGCGTGTGGGCTGTGGGGAACCCCATCTTGGTGGCCACTCATCACAGTGAATGAAACAGAAAGCTCCCCACTTCCAGCCCAGGACCTCTCTGGACGGGTGGGGACGTGCAAGGGACGTGCCTACGCAAGGTCCCTCTCCCACTCGGGACTCAGTTACTGTGAGTGTAATTGGTGTCAGGCTGTCCATCTGGGCATCAGCCCGTCAGCAGTTGGGCCCTGGAGGACCCCAGGCCCAGGGACCTGTGCGGTCAGGTCTCCCGGATCCCACCCAGACGGGGCCACCTCCGCAGATTCCCGGCCGAGTTCCCAAAGCACGTGCTGAGCACCCACTGTGTGCAAAGAAGGTGCATGTCCCAGAGGAGGGAGCAGCCGGGGCTGGCAGCGAGACAGGGACAAGAGCGGTCCTCCGTGAGGCCACCGCGCTGCCCGGGGACACGGCTTCCACTCGGCCGGCTAATGTGACCTCTACAAACGCCCCAGCAGGCAGACACTGCCACACCCATTTTTAAGATGTGGAAACAGGTTCAAGGCAGAACTTCAACTTACAAAACTGCTATTAAAGCCAGACTCTTGCCACTGATGTGTGACCCGGCCTATTGCTCACTGACCAGAAGCAGACCCGATGACACGGAAGATCGGTATATCATAAATTCAACGTCACAACACAGAGAGCAGAATTTTAAAAATATATTTTTAATTGAAGGGTGCTGAGAAAATTGGAAAGAAATCTGAAAAAAAAAAGTGACACTAGGTAGACTGGAAAAGACAATTATTTTTTAACGAGAATAGAAGTGAATGTTTTTAGATCGTCAAAGTAACATTTTAAACTCTGAAATTGCTAAGAGCAATGAATTTGACTATAAAAACGTAAAACTAAAAACAATGAAAAATAGCTGAGGAAAAAGTCTGGAAAAATATTTGAAATCAAATGGGATGATTTATCATAAATTTCATATAAAGTTCATATAGATGAATAAGAAATACAAATATAAGAGATAAATGTGTGACATGATGAGACAGTCCGTCCACAAGAGGAAATAAATGTGGAAAGATTTTCAATCTTGTTTGTTTTCAAGGAAATGCTCATAAAATGAGGTACTATTTTACCTCATCTGTAAAAGTGGAATATATTTTACTAACAAGATTGTATTGAGCCTGATCCCCTTAGACAGTGCTACAGAATCACTAGTCACAAGCATTTCTGAGCCCTGAACGTTCTTATAGCCTTTGACCTTAGGGCATTTATACAATGAAAACGGCGCCAAAGAAGGAAAAAAATAGTCATAAGAGTGGTTATTTTTTTTACAAGTTTCTGGAACAATGAAAAATACTGGAAACAATCTAAATGTCCAAAATCAAGGGACTGGAAAATTAAGCGCCCCGGGAAAATGGGCAGTTGTGTGGCATCCTCTGAGAAAAGCAGACTGGAAAGCAATTTACCTCCTGAGTCCAGGTGCGACTCTGACACGGGGCTGTAGAAACGCACCTGTCTGGAGAATCCCTGAAATGGAACGTGGAAGAGGAAACCCAAGAACAATGGAATCCTCTGCTTTTGAGACGGTCCCTCTCTGGTCGGAGGTAAATGCACCAGGCCTGGGATGAAAAAGGCAAATATAATTTTCAACACTCTTCCTAAAGGGTCAAAGTGATTCGTACGGAAAAATTCAAATTGGAGGGAAGCTGTGAGAGCTGAAATCTATAGCCCGCAAATGGGCAGAAATAAAATAAACCTAGAGTTTCAAGGTACTGGACATTTATTGATCACCTCATCTGCCTCGGGCTCGTGCCAATCATCGCGACGGACAGAGAGACTCCGAGAAAGAGGGAGGACACTTTCCACGTCCCAGCGCCGTGGGGTGGGCCTGGGTCACGGAACCCTGGCCGGGCACCTGGGGCGCCAGGCCCAGAGCAGTATCTGGTCTCTGCTGCTCCCTCCCGTCCAGACGAGCTCAGAAAGGCCCACGGGGTGCGGCCCAGGCCCTGCGCGGAGGATCCGCCATGTGCTGTGGGCTGCAGACTTCCCTTGGGTGCCAGACCACAGCCCAGGAAGCCAGCGCCTCTGTGTGTTCAGTAAACAACCCTCTCCTGCTCCCCCCGCCCACGCCGAGGTCCTCCCTTCCCGGCTCGCCCGGTCCCTTCACCTGGCGGTTCCCCCGCTGCTCATCTCGCTTTCAGAATCACTCACGCTTTCGGTGCCCCAGACGGAGGTGTGTCCAAGGGAGGTGACATCCAGGGGCTCTGGGCCTGGCAAGCAAGCATTACTCCTGCCAGCCTCCCAGGGGAGGAGGCTACAGCCCCCAGGCCACCAGGATGTGGGCGGCGCTCACCAGCACCCGTGTAAATCAGACCTTAGAAAGCTCTGAATCTCCTGCAGCCCCTCGGGTTCCCACACGCTGGGGGAGGGGGTCGGCATCCACGTGGTCACCCACAGAGCCACCCAAGGCCCGCCCTTGCCCCCTCTCTGCTGAGACCCACGATGTTACACTTACCTCTTAAAGGAACCCTATTTCTGTCCCCACTGCCAGAGCCTCCCGCGCCCAACACAAATGACGTCACAGCTCGCGAGGGGTCTCCTGGCCTGAGCCTGCCCCTGTCCAGGCCACAGTGCTGCCAGAGATCTTTTCAGAGCAGACAAGTGTCTCGTCCAACTCAGAGGTGGCCAGTGGTCCCTCAGCACCTACAGTCATCTGCTTCCTCTCCTGCCACCCGGCTCTGGTCGCCCTGGGCCAGGAGCTGCAGCTGTCACCCACCTCCACTTCTGACCTTGGAATTCACACGGCATCACCTGGGATGTCTTTCCGATGTACCCCTCTCATCGGACGTGCGCTCCCGGCTCTGTTCCCGGCGGCCCCCACGGCGTGACTCTGCACGTTGGCCCCTGCGCGCTCGTGCACCTGCGCCCCTCCCTGCGCGCTCGTGCACCTGTGTCCCTGCCCAGGGCCCAGAGCGCAGGTCCTCGCAGCGCCTGCCCTGCGCAGGGGCGCGCAGTTAGCGACGAGAGTCAAACTGACGGTCCGCCTCCGATGGGTGATGGTCAACACCCGGAGGCCCGGCGGGGCAGTAGTTCATTCCTGGTGACAGTGGGGTGGGCTCTGTGGGGCACACGCACTAGAACTTGAGTTCCAACGCAGCATCTCCCGGAAGGGGCCGGACCGCGCTGACATCGCCGAATGCCCGCTGCGCCCGCGACCTGGGGAAAGGGCGCGGCTCCCCTCACCCACCCCTGTTCGGTCCCACCACGCCAAGGGCACAAGTCACCCCACTCGTCCCCGTGGATCCTCTGCTGACTCTCTCCCCTTCCTCTACTTCTGGCTCC